CACCTGAGGATATTTTGCCATTGGTTATTAGGGAGAGTGGAAGAGAGAGGGAAAGACAGAGAGAAACATCGATGTGAGAGAGACACATCAATTGGTTGCCTCCTGCACGAGTTCCAAACAGGACCCAGGCCGGGGAGGAGCCTGCAACCAAGGAACCTGCCCTTGACCGGAATCAAACCCATACCCTTTAGTCCGCATACCCTTCTATCCACTTAGCCAAACCAGCTAGGGCTCGTGTTGTTTTTCTAAGCCTTCAGTAGAGCACCAATCTCAGATTGAGATCATTATTTTAGATTTTCTACCAGATAAGGGGTTCCTTGAGCAAGGAATTGCATTTTGTTTATCTTTGTAGTCTCCCCTATTGTATAGCGTAGTCTTGTAAATAAAAATGCTCAGTCCACTTTTAATAAATCACATTGCATGTAGCTCAGTTTTGGCAGACATATTTAAAAATGTGGTTTTGTTCACACTACAAGAAGATTCACAGTAAGAGTCCTCTATCTATAAACATCCTGACTGCATTGAAAGAAGGACTTGGTTTATATAAAATTTTAGGACTTTATAATAGAGAAAAGACTACAAATAATGTAGACGGTGCCTGCGACTAAGCATTCAACTATATTCTGGGTTTAGTCCTTAGAGTTACTAATTTAACCTTCACAATAGCCCTCTGGGAGAGAGGATCTGTTTGTAACATCCACACATAAGGAAACTGCAGCTTCAAGAGGTCAAGTGACATGCTTATGATCTCTTAACTAGAGCTAGGATTCAAGTTTGGGCATCTGACTTCAGAGACCCTTCTCTTAAACCTTCCCAGTTTTGTGTGGCAATAACCATCAATCTGATCGGGGGCTTGTGCATAAGATCTGAGCTGTAGTTCTTGGTTATCATTTGCTGGAAGAAGTAGAAACTTCTGAGGGCCTTCCCCATGGGGATATACTGGAAGTAAAATGACTTTCTGAAAAATCACTCCCATACAGAGTATCAATATAAATTTACGGTTTAAAAATACTTGGTCAAAATGCTTAAGGCGGCATCATGGCCAGTGAACCTAATTATAGCCAGTCAAATTAGTTGTGTTCTGATAAATGACTTGCGCTATAGGAAAACCAGGAAATTCCAGAATTGTTCTTTTACATTTCCTGTACTTCCACCTCCACCCCCAATATTCTTTTAACCATTGTCATAGACTCAAAAAGTAAAACCATGTGAAGTCAACTGTTAATATTCGTATTACACTAGGAACAAGAGAAATGGGAAAGTAGGAAATAATACTTAGTGTTTTGCCTCACAATTGCAACAAGATTTCTGTGATAATATTTTAGAATAATACATAGCTGGCATACCACACTAAGATCCAAACATTATGTGTTGTCTGTTGATTTTTTTGAAAATTCCAAATAAAGAAAAACACAAGATTGGCAGCTTCTATATTACAAATGGGTTATGTCTCTACCAGTCATATCATGGAGAACAGAAAATTCTGATGACTTTTAAAGAGACAACAAAAGCCTTTGAAGAAATTTCCAGCTTGTATGGAAAGTTGTTTTGAGTCTCAAACACCCTAGAATTGCATTCCCCTCTAGGATTGGGGCTACTTTGGTGGATATTCTTGAGAAGGACTGTTTTGTTTGTTTGATTTGGTTTTGCCTTTTGTGCCAAGATCGAATTCAGAAGAATTTTAAACTTATAGAAAACTTTATATCAGCCAGAATGTTCCACACTAGACATCTTATTAACATAATCATAAGCCTCAAGGAGAACAGGCTTGGACCTCCTCCTCCTCCTTTTCCCCAAATACTTCCCTGGAGACCGCACTGTGATTTAGTTTCAGTAATTACCCTCTTTTGTTGGGAGAGAAGTAATGGCCTAGGTGGGCTGTGAGCTCCAGTGTTAGGGCACTTCTTGACATGCCTTGGCCCTAAGGAAAACCACACCTTTGTCTAGGAATCCGCCTGGTTCATTTATCATCTGTCACTGATTTTTGTCTGGGAACCGGAGACCAACGCTCTCCAGGGACACCACTTACATTCCTACGTGACCATGGTGTTAATGGCGTTAATGGCACAGTCCAGGAATATCCTTTTTTATGTTAATTTCCTTCCTTTTCAAAGAAAATGGCCCTGAAAATTCAGTAATTTTGTACAATGACACTATTGCAATTAGCCAGCAAGGACAAACCTTGCCATTTGACTGCACTGAAAAAAACAAATGGACAAGGGACCGGAGTCAATGGCATGGCCTTTGCAGCTTCAGCATTTCTGGAGATGGTTTCAGCAGCGCGCCTGCCTCTGAGAACAGATCTGGCCCGTGCTGGGTGCCACTTTCCTGGCGGCTGAGAGTGTGCCCGTGGCTGGCTCTGCCATGGCACTCCCGGGAATGTCCTTTAGGCCCACTGGCATGTTCTTTTCTGTCATAAGGAATTAAATGTGTGCTTCAGGTGCCAAATGCCAGAAGTGCATTCAGAAGGTGCTTATAAAGTTGAAGGTTTTTAGGGGGAATTTTTATCGTTTGATTTAGGACAGATCTCTCAGGAGTTGGGTTTTCATTTGGTCTCCGTGTTTTTCACCACTGAGAGTAGTTATGCGGGGGGAGGGGTCTCTCTTTTTTTTAACAGTATGCATCCATTTTCAGACGCGTCCCTTTCACAGATGAAACAATAATTTAGCTCCATCGGTTTCGATCTCAAAAGCATAGACCCTCCTGAAGTGACTTGGAAGAGTTACTAACCCACCTGTGACTGCCTTGTAAAGTCCAGAGACTTAGGCAGACGACCCTTGGAGAATGGAGCTCTACTAGAAATTGTCGCACGGATTGTCCGGTTGCCAGAGAATGGAGGGCTCTGGGCTTGGCTGTGAGCAGATGGTTCATTCTTCCTAGTTGGACAGTTTTCTTTTATTCACACATGGAAAGATAAAGGGTTTCCCCTCTCAGCTGCTCATGGAACAGTGGCCCCAAACAAGGGATGTGTTGAGAGGGACTGGCCTACTGTGCTCAGAGAAGTCAGCCCTGTGGTTCCGGCCCCTTTATTCCTTTTGTCCAAGGGATTAGCCCATTGTCTCTTAGGTCTTGGCCTCATGTCAGGTGCCAAATGCCACAGGGCTATTCCATTCTGAATCATCCGTAGCTCTTCCCACAATCCAGGCCTACAGTTACATTCCACAAAAGGGAGAAGTGTTCATTTTTCCTTGGTTTTTCAGCCTACTTGATGAGGTACCTTTCTGCGATGCCCCAGTGTGAGGGAATTGGAGACTGTAAAGTGGATGGACCCTGCCTTGCAGGCACAGATAGTGGTGAGGAGAGTGAGATGGCAAGTCCAGGTCTCCGTAACACACAGCACCCGCAGATGGGAAGCGGAACTGGGAGTCCTGCGCTTAGGTCTGCTAAAGGTTTTAGGACCCAGTCAAGAAGGGGTGGGCTTCAGTCCGACTGTGAGCTGAGGCGGGTTCACCAATCCAGGAACACAGCCCAGGATGGAGAGTAGAACCCTGGTCAAAGATAGGAGTTATCAAGCTCACGTTTGAATTTCCAATGATACTGTCTTTGGGGCTGTTTACATACCGTTGTAGACCCTTTTTACAAGTCAGGATGGAGAACAGTAACAGTAACCATATCATTTGGGCATAGAAAGGCTTTCGTAAGAAAAGCTCATCTTCAAGGTTGTATGTTTGAGCCCCTGTCAGGGTACATACAAGAATCAGTCTCTCTCTCTCTCTCTCCCCCCCCTCTCCTCCTCTCACTCTCTCGCTCTCCCTCTCTCTCTCTCTTCCTCTCCCTCTCCCTCTTTCTCTCTCTTTCTCATTAATAAATAAAATTTTTAGATCTGCTTGTTAATTCCTATTTTCAAGGAAATTATTGTGTCTTGCATACATGACTTTTAAGATGACAACTAAACTTTAACTTGAGTAGTCTTGGGAAGGTATTTTGTTTCCTTTTTAGCTCCAAATCTAATTGTGTCCTTTGAAAGTTCATTGAGTTTCCTATTGCTTTTCAAGCAACTTATTCTAGAAACAATGTGTAATGCTCTTAATTGTATAATTTATATTATGGAATTTCAAAAAGCTTCAGAAACTATTCTGCTTTTTATGAACTTTATTTTATAAATCACAAGAAATTATATGGGTTAACCAGAAGCTATGGTAAGAGAGAGATCAATGTGTATAGGAAAAACTGCATGGGAATATGATGTTTGCCATGCATTGGACAGACTCTTAATTCTGGAATCTCCTTAAAATAGGAAATTTGTTAGTTTCTTTGAGCAAATTTAAGAGGCCCCTAGATATCATTTTTGTGATAACATTTTTTATTTTTATTTTACTACCTGTCTTAGTTGGTTAACAAGATACCTCAGACTGGATAGCTTAAAAACAGCAGACATTTATTTCATACAGTCTGGAGGCTGGGAGTCATGGTGCAGGCAGATTCACTATAGTGGCTGGTAAGGCCCCACTTCCAGGTTTGTAGCCTTCTCTCTGTGTCTTCACATGGTAGAGGGGCAAGCAAGCTCTCTGAGGCCTCCTTTATAAAGGCACTAATCCCATTCATAGGGGCTTCACCCTCATGACCTAAGCACCTCCCAGAGTCCTGCCTCTTAATACCATCACACTGGGATATTAGGATTTCAATATATGAATTTTGTGGGGACACAAACATTTAAATAGTTCTTTAAGCAAGTTTAGGAGAATATCACTTTTGTGATAAAATTTTTGACTTTTATTTGTTAGTCTTATTTTTACCAAAACCAATCTCTTGGGTTGTTCACAGTTAACTAGCTCTAGCCTATTACTTATCCAAAGTTAGCCATTTCCCGCCTTGGCTTGTCAGTATAATCAGGTTCACTATCAGTCTCAGTATTAAACAAAAGTCCAGTTGAGTAATTATTACAATCTTACATTTGTGTTGTCTGGTAAATTTGACCACTAACAGAGAAAAATGCCATATACCAATTCTTTGTGCTGGTCCAAATTTTGAAATGTGCCAAAAATGTGCTTTATTTTTAGGACCCTATTGTGGAACTATGAATGTTCCCAAAGAACTCTTGCTGAACACAAATGAAGTAACTGTTCGCTTTGCAAGTGGATCCCACACTTCTGGGCGGGGCTTTTTGCTGACCTATGCCAGCAGCGACCATCCAGGTATAGCGGAAGCATCAACACAAATCTGTACCCCGTCATCAGTCTAAGAATGCCTCTTGCTACTTATCACTATCTCTGGACAGAATTGTGACTCAGATGCAGAATTAAGATGTGAGGCAAGAGAGGAATGCAATGTCTGTAGTTGGGTCTGAATTGAACTCTTTTATAGAACATGTTAAATTGATCAGCTGACATAAGAGAGTTGATCTCATTTTCCTTGTAGCCTTGGGTGGAGCATCTTTGGGGCCACTGTTGCCCTTCTGAGGTCTGGCTATTCTCTGGAGTCCTCCACTGGCCTGTTTCTTAGCTCGGGACAAGCATTTTATCAAGTACCCACACCCCTTTACATACACACACCAGTGCACCAGCGCAGCTGGAGGAGTGTGAGTATGACCAGGATGTAGTCACTATCACCGAATCCCCTAACCATGCAGCTCACACGAGCAGGAGAGAAGGGAAGCATGGGTTCTGTCCAGGCCTCTTGTACTCCAGAGGAATTACCGTGCAGCCCACCCCATGTCTGCCCTGGGCACAGAGGTGCCCAGAATTTCTGCTTTCATTCCCCTCTGGCAGAAGTACTCTGGAAAGGGGGTGCACCATTCATTTCCCTCCCAGCCAATCAGATCTGAGCAATCCAGGCAGGCCCCAGCATGGCCAGTGTTCACCCCCTAAGAACTATTGAAAAGATGAAGGAGAGAAAGAACTATTGCAAGTATGGAATGTTTTGGAAACTATTCTAGGTTGACATAAATGCATCAACATCCACAGTATCTTAGCATCTTTGTTGTTGAGTATTAGTTTGGTTCCATCCGCAAGGAGCACCCTCTTGTTGAGTCCTTGGTCCTGATCAGAGTTGAGAGGCTATTTGTGTTTTCATTCAACACCTGGTTCTTGGGTCACTCAGGTGCCTCCAGCTAAATTGTTAAATTACAATGTTCCTGAACCTTCTGTATGAACCACGATGGGCTTTAACATTGTTTTCCTTCTGCCAAAGGAATTAATACACATGATCTTTGTAGGCATGCAGTGGATAGTAACTAACCAGTGTTGGAAATAGATTCTGTTGTCACTCACTGGACAACCACTGAAAAACCATCATTGGTGGTAGGAAAGAGAAATGAAGGAACTGTTAAGTCCTGAGGACACTGTGTTCAGTTTTTGTTTGTTTTTCCCCCACTGTAGACCTTTCCCCATATAAAAAGTGAAGGGATTACAATTTAGATTTTTTTTAAACTTTTTTTTATGGATGACTTTTACAGATGTGCTCAGTTTTTACTTATTTTTAAACAGGAAAATATAGATAAATTAGATAAAGAATAAATGCTTTTTAAAAATTATCTTTTTTATTTTAAAAGAAAGCTTTCAAGCATGGGTATCTTAAGTTCCATTCAGTCTGCTAATTACAATTATCTTTATGACAGATTTGATAACGTGTTTGGACCGAGCTAACCATTATTTGGAGACAGAATACAGGTAAGGATGGGTGTGCTGGCTGTGCTGCAGGCATATGTTGCTGAACATTTTATTTACCTTGACATTAAACCAGATATTGTTTGTATTTTTTTTAAAATCATCTATGTTGCAGCTCATGAGGAATATTTGAAATGGTTTCTCATACAGCAGAGATCAGCAACCTTTCTTTGCCAAGGACCAGATGGTAAATATTTTAGGTTTCACAGGTCATGCAGTCTCTTTTGCATGAAGTCGTACAGTTTTGTTACTGTTGTAATGCAAAAGCAGCCATAGACTAGATGTAAATAAATGAGGAGGGCTGTGTTCCAATAAAACTTTATTTACAAAAGCAAGCAGCAGGCTGGATTTAAGCCACAGTTTGCTGACCCCTGAGTTCTACTATAGGACCAATGAGCCAACATTTTTTTACCTGGCCTGTATTTGGGAGTGACTTTTGTCAGTTACTTTGCTTTTGGAGGGTTTATTTTGTCTTTCCCACAAAAGAGTAACCTACTGAGAGTAGGAGATGAAAATTCTATCCCAGCTTTAATGGGAAAATGGCTTGATCTCTTTGATGTGCATTCCCTCATCTATAAAGTAAAGGAGCCTAGAGCAGGATTTCTCAGCCTTGGCATCACTGATATCTTGGGTCGGATGGTTCTTTGTTGTGAAGAGCAGTTCTGTGCATTGTTGGATGTTCAGCAGCAACCCTGGCCTCTACCCTCTGCCAGTGTGATAACCAGAAATGTCTCTGGTAGACATTGCCAGATGTCTCTCAGCGGGCAAAATTCACACCCAGATGAGAATCACTGGTCTAGAGATCATTGCCAACAACAGCTGTAACTCCTCAGAGTGCTTTCATAGTGCCCAGGTACTTAGTGCCTGGACTTAGCATAAAAGTAACTCAGGTGAATGTCCCAACATGCCTACAAAGTAGGTTTTGTGGTACACGAAAGACAGAGGCACAAAGCAGTTCAGTAACTTGCCCAGGATTACACACTTAAGTTTACCCAGAGTCAGGCTCAGGAGTGCCTGGTCCTAATCATCTCAGACTCTAATAAATGAGATTATTTTCTATGCAGAATCAACTCTAGTGTTAATCAATACTAAGTCTGGTAGAAAAAAAAACACACAAAAAATAAAAGTGACCAATAATTCAATACTGCCCTGTAAAGTTGCCTTTCATCCAATGTAGATATTTGTCAACATTCCCTGGATCTTTTCAGTGATCCTGTACAGCGCCAGCGGTGATAGGGCCTCTGGGCATCAATGATCATTTTCTGTCCTAAAGAGGGGAATATACTGAGTGAGATAATGGTTCCAGATCATCTAAGCCAGCAGTTTTCAACAGGTGTGCTGCAAGAATTTTTAAAACATGCAGTACCTGACTATTTAGTCAGGGGCACGGACCTCTTTTCCCTTACATTGTCAAATTTAAAAAATGACAATAGCCAATACAACAATAGCCGTCCAGTGTGAATGAATCAAAATTATAACTTAATTTTTTTTGTCAGATCAGTAAAAAAAAATATGGTTTGTTTGGGGTTTTGTTTGTTTGTTTGTTTTTGGTGTGCTGCAGAATTTTTGTAATTATTTTTTTGTACCGTGAGATGACAAAGGTTGAAAATCGCTGATCCAAGTTGTAGCCCAACGTTTGCAGTGTTAGGTAAATATGAGGCATAATGACTAATAAAGGCCCACAATCCCTGTGAAATGCAGAAAGCTTTGAAAGTCAAAAATTTTTGTAACTCACTTGATGGCAATACCTGATTAACGTGACCTTACATTCATTTGACAGCAAAATTGGACTAAAACTAAGGAGTCTACTTAGTCTGTATTTGACTTAATATGACTATTTGTGTATTTGACACAGAGATTTTAATGTTTTTATTAATATGTGCAGACCTCACAGGATCTTACATAATATACATCATTGGAATTGTCCTACTTTCTAAAATCCAAAAAAAAAACAAAAACAGAAAAGTCTGAATTCTGAAATAATCTGCCTCTAAGAGTGAGGATAAGGGACTGTAACCCTGTAGTAGGATTCCCCATTATTTTCATTTCTTAATTCCTTGATCACTGCTGCAATGCTGGGCTCCATGAGGTCAATGGGAAAGAATTGTGAGTTATTTATTTGGGCAGTTTTGATAACTAGATGTTGTTACTCAGCTAATTTGCTAAGTCAGCAGGCGGAAACTGGGAGGAAATGAAGTCAAAGCGACTGCTATTTTGGAATCTGTTTGGGCCGATACATTCTTTTTAAACAAACCACGTAGACATTATCGTGATGTAGTGTATATATAGAAACAAGGGCATGTGGCCTTCATCTTCAAAGTTGTCATTGTTCTTATAATATTTTGACTTGCTTTTTGCATGCTTTTCATAGATGTAGAGCTGTCATTCATAGCCTATTCATATGTTGACTCTTGAAGGAATTGCAGATGAGAAAACTTTCTTTTTACTTTTTTAATGTGGCTACTAGAATATTTAGATTTACATATGTGGCTTCCTTTATGTTTCTATTGGGTAGTGCTAGTAGAGTGAATCAAGATATTGCATAGTAAAATAACACATAAAGTGAAAGTTTCTCAAAACCCCACTAGAATCCAGAGATCTAATTCCTTGTCTTCTTTTTATCCATAAAAAAGCATGTTTTTTACATGTTTTAAATATCTTTTTATAAAAACAAGGTCCTGATATATATAGATATATATATACTGTTTAGAAATTTTGCTTTAAAAATATTTTTTCTTGGACTTAAAATAATTAAGATGCATTAGGAAAGCTCATTTTTTAATAGGGTATATAATGCATCCGTATATAAAACAAATACCGTATTTGCCGGCGTATAAGATGATTTTTTGGCCCTGAAAAATATGCCTCCAAGTGGGGGGTCGTCTTATACGCCAGGTACACTTCAGATAGACTGCCCATAGTGCTTGCCCCGTGCCATAGTGGCCTCCCGATGCCCGCCCACTTCATTCCACATACCGCTCAGGCATCAG